AGAGTCCTCAGAATTCAGCATATATTGCGGGACAGACAGGATCCTTTAGCTCAGCGCGACAGTGTGCTCATTGAGAGATATCTTCCCGTGAGGGTATTATTTACTTAACCAACTTGTTGACGAGGGGGTGCAGGACCACCATCTGTCTTTTTTTGCTCTGCCCTTTTCTTGGTTGCTGTTATAAACAAACAAACAGATTATTTCAGGGTCTCTTTCCAAGAGACGAAAAGCAATATAAGTGATAAATATTACCATTCTATAGAATATTCTTATATTTCACTTTTACTTGTTCCCATGTTCTAGTGGGTCCTGTTGTGGCTCTAATGTGAAAGAGGATATAATATAACAATATAATATAATGTAATATAATATTGGATAATATAGTGTGATATGATAAATCTACCCTACCGCCTACTGGTGTTGGCCAGAGGGGCCGATGGCGCGATATGGCAGCCTCGCTTCTGTCAGTCTGCCCCAGGGCAGCTGTGGCTACAACCGTAGCTGCCTCCACCAGTGTGTGAATGTGAGAGTGAATGAATAGTGGCATTGTAAAGCGCTTTGGGTGCCTTGAAAAGCGCTATATAAATCCAATATATTATTATTATTATTATTAAATTACTTACGAGTTTAATTTGTCAGCAACTTTCTGCCAGCCCTCTCTCCTTGCTTTTGCAGCCTTTGCAGTGTTCCCTTGCGTTCTGATTAAACTCTGAAACTCCTGAAATCCCTCACTCAGGAGTTCTTGCTCTGCTGCCGAAAAATACCGAGCCGAGCACGCTCCTTCGACATTTTCGCCGACCAATCAGAGGGTTGCCGATCAATGTTTCTACTATCGATGCGTAGCCCCTTTTACGACACCCAGTGATGTCACATTACTGCGTCCAGCTGTAGTAATCGTCAACAGCAGGTGTGTTCGGGGAACCGGATTAGCGAGCTCACGGTTAGCGCGATGATTTGATCTTGGATGTGTCATTTGATCTTGGATGTAGTAAGCGACGTACGAAGAACGGGCCCCTAAACTGGGAGAACTAAAAAAACAACATGAACAACCCTGACATGAACTTGAACAAACCTGGACATGAAACTTGGAAACATGGTAAAAACAACAGATGACCTGATACCGAATGAAAAACAACACACAGACTAAGGCTGTGTCCAAATTCAAGGGAAGGATGCTTCAAATGCCATATTTGGAGGTAATGACGTCAGAGCAATGCGACGAAGGCTGTCCAAATTCGAATAGTCCTCCAGATGTGGTGACAAATGAGTCCTTATTTTCCCCGAATTTCAAGGATGGGTCTGGTGTATCCTTCGTGTCCTACCATATCTCAGGATTCATTGTGGGCCATACAGGAGATTTTTTTTTTCTGATAATGATGGTGGTCGAAGCGGGAGAGGAAAACACTTTCAAATTTAAGTATATGAAAATCTGGTGGTACAAAAGTTAAATTTTTATAGTGGTTGTAGTGTGGGCATCTGCATAGACATTTTTTTTTTTTCATAATCATAAAATAGCTTGTATGGTGGATCCTGTGTTTTTCCATGTATTGCTGCTTACATACAGCTAATTAACCTTTTAGTGATGTGTTTTGGGACCAAAGACCGAATGGCTCAATTTATTAAAATGAGGAGAAAATGATCACCACCTTCACTGGGGTGAAGAATTTGCCACTGTGGGATGGAGGTACAAGAATAAATCAATTTACACATCATATTCATAAGAATACGAATTTGTTAACCCTCATGCTGTACCAAACCTGTAACGTCCAGATGGAATTCCTCTCGTTTTCTGCTGTGAAAACTTTTGGATTTAGGAGAGGAGAGAGCGCAGGAGAGGATGGACAGACTGAAGATCTTTACCAATGGTATTAAATCCATCTTTTTTAGACTTTCCTAAGGCTCCAGACAAGGACGTCCATCATCCCCTCTATTGTTCGCACTTGCTATAGAACCTCTGTCAATTTTTCTGAGGTTCTCCTTTATTTTTAGCTGAATTTAAGTTATGAAGTTAAGTTATCACTTTATGCTGATGAGTTATGTCTCAAGTCCTGTTCTCTTCATATCATCAATTTTATCTGCTTTTCAGAGATTTGGTTCATTCTCTGACTATAGAGGGATCTAGGGATCAATGCAACCAGAACATTGAATACTCTTTTCGCTGTTAATTTCTTGCCTTTAATGTCTAAAATTAAACAGGACCTCCAAAGATTGGGAAGTGTACATCTCTTGTTTATCAGAATAATCAGTGCAGTTAAAAATGAACATTTTACCCAAATTCCTCTTCCATTTTTCTTGCCAAAGAATTTTTTCAAAACAACTGATCAAACTATTTTGGACTTCTTATGGTGAAAAAAGGCAGCTGGGATCTTCAAAATCCACACTTCAGAAATGCAATCCTGCATCTGATAATTGCAACCAATGCCATGTTCCCTCCTGCAAATTAACAGATATGTTTTGCTGTTACTCACTACTCACTCGCTTTTGGCAGAATTATGTTGCTACCATGTGAAGGATATTTTCAACGATCTCAACCAGATGCACAAAAATAGCTGGCATCATGACACCGATTGTATCTCACACCTTTTTGTACTCACTATACAACTTCTGATCAGATTGTCGGGACTCTGTGTGCGGGCAGGTAGAGATGTGGATCCAAATGCAGGACTCTGAGACGGAAATGTAACTGAAGACCACAGCTTTATTGCTGGCACCAAGCAAAAACAGAAACCAACCCATGAAACCGCAAACTGGACCACACAGGCAGGATCTGAAAGTACAACACAACACTGAGCACAGGAAAACACAGGGCTAATATACACAGGGTGGTAATCAGGGAATGGGCAACAGGAGGGAGACACAGCTGGGAGAAATTGGACTAACAAGACAGGGGAGCAGTAGAACTGAACACACTCACATGAGACATAGACCTTCACAATAAAACAGGAAATAAGAAAACACTAAACAAAGACGCAGACAGAATATAACACATGCAACTCAAACAATACATGCAACAACAAATCCTTAAACACGGATAAACAGAAACATGAAACTAATAATCATCATCATCATCATCACCATCACAAGCCCTACAAGAGAATAAGAAAACAATCCATAATGCAAAGACACACCAAAATAACTGAAACACAGATTCATCATAAAACCCAACAAACCAGAGAAACATAAAGAACAATCCATCATTCAAAAATAAACCAAGACATAAAAAACTCCAAATGTTGGGTCAATCCGTACCAGGACTGTGACACAGATCCTCGAGTATTAATATGTATACCTGACACATGCATTCATACAAAACAAGTCAACAATCCTGCCAGTGGGATTAAGGCCAGGATACCTAAGCTAAGGAAATCCTCGAAAGTTGGTTCATCTGGACGTAACAGTTTCCAAGTGACTCCTTCAGGCGAGTGATGAAACATTGAGTGATGAAACATTTTCCCCATTAAAAACCCTAGGTCCAGTTGAACAGAATCAACTTTTAGGAAATAATCAGATAGCGTCAAACACCATACAAATCAAGTGAACACCAAGTAGTTGTTTCTGTTATACTTTTGACATGAGGTCTGCCTGAAGGACTCTGGTATTTGGTGTATTGTAATGTATTGATGCATGGAAAAGTCCTCAAGGTAAAAAAACAACAAAAAAAACAAAACAAAAAAAACTGGCAGGCCTGTATGGGTCTAAGTATAGTCTTGCATTCATTCTCTGATGACTTATTTAGACCACTGAAACACAAAAGGACCCGAGTGGATGCAGAAAGACAGACTAACACTGATGTTAGGGGTTATGAAATTAATTAAGCAAGCTGACTGAATATTCACAACTATGCACTAAACATTGTGACTGTGTGATATATCTATAAAGTACTAAGAATGTTTGGTACCATAAGTAATTTCAGCCTTTAAAATTATTGGTTCCATAGTCCAAAGGGTGTTTACCTATTTTTAGGACATTAATACATTAAATAGATTAGATATTAGATTAGATCTATTTGAAAATGAATAATTAACTTCTGCTGCTGGTTTGCTATACATACTGCAGTTAACAAGAGGAAGTTGGCATATACCTAATTTTATAGAAGCCAAACCACAGGAAATAGATGTCTCAAAGGACATTGCTTATAAAAGGCACAGAGGGAACTACTTTTTCATACTTCCTTGGTTTAAATTAAAAAAGTATTTGTATTACAAGCAGACTGTAACAGATCACTGTGATGGCTATGGCTACTTTGACTACTGGGGGAAAGGAACACAAGTCACAGTAACTTCTGGTAAGTAACAATCTAATCTGTTTTGAGTGAGCACAATTCTGTATTTGTCAGTTAATGAAAAATTGGTTACAATGTGTGCTTAATTGACATTGGCGGTAAAGTAAAACATCTGTGTAAATAACAGATTTATCCAGTTTATTAGGTTAGTGTAATCACGTGAAAAAATATTTTTGCACTGAAGTACAATTGAAATCTGTCACTGTGACTACTTTGACTACTGGGGAAAAGGAACAATGGTCACTGTCACAACAAGTAAGACACGCTTCATATTCTCCTTATTAAAAAGGTTAAACTTTCACAGTTTAATTTGACATATTTAAAAGTTCAGTGTGGTTGTTTTTTGCATGTTGCATATTTTTGAGATTTTATACTAGACACTGTTTTGGACTACTGGGGATAAGCCACAACCAGGTAAAGGGATCTGATTTCTTTTTCTTTAATGTTGACATTTAAGTTCAAAAACACTGTGAAAACCATGCAGTGCTTTAATTTCTGGTTTATTGCAAGGCTATAGTCTGTAGCCATGATTTTAACTCTGGTGATTAAAAACTTTGTGACCTTTAATTTAATTGGAGCATAACTATGTAAACAATTATTGAGTTTAGAGTGGTTCTAGTTATTTCAAATGTCAGAAAAATGTTACAAATTAACAGGATATCTGAGAAGTTAGTTTTTGTGAGAGGTGCAAACGACTCCGTTAACTGTGATAACTGGGCTTTCGACTACTGGGGGAAAGGTACAATGGTTACAGTCACAACAGGTAAGGCACTTGGAATATGTCCTTAATCTTAAGATTTTGAGTTAAAAACTTTGATATTTTCCGAAGAAACAGTGTGTTAGTGTACAGTGTATTCCCACTGTATTTGTAAAATACTGCAAGTCGAATGTGAGGTAATTTGAAGACTTGGTGGTGAAAAACAGGTTTAATTCAGTCTTTTGAGTCTTAATTTGCACAAACAACATGAAGAAAACCAAGTATGCCAAGATGGAAAGTCTGTTTTTGTATGAAGTGGTGAATGACTTGTTAGACTGTGACTACGCTTTTGACTACTGGGGAAAAGGCACAAAGGTCACCGTCACGTCAGGTATGAATTGATGTATTTTTCACTAAAGACAGAATTTTTTTTATCAACTACGACAATACATCTATTGGGATAAATTCAGCAAAGCAAGTCATTATTGGAACACTTTGTAGCCAAAAGAGCAAAGAATTTGTAAAAAAAAAAAAAAAAAAAACCAACAACAACAACAACAACATAATTTATTTATATTAGTTATAACTATATCAAGAAGTGAGTGTTTTAAACTTATTTTATTTTTCTCTGAGACAAAATTGGAATGTCATAGTAATTAATTTGTGTAAGAAGTAACTGTCACAAATGAGCTTTTGACTCATAAGAAAATGGCATCAAGATAAAAATGTCATCAGGTAAGACTTGTCCTATTTAAAATCTGCATAGGATATGTTTCGGACAGAGAAATTCATTTTACAAGTTATAATATAACTTCACATTATGTGAGAAATATTCTTAAACGTGATAATGTCAAAATGGGTATAATTTGGTGACTTAATAAGATTTCAATCTAGTGGGAATAAAATTAATGTTGAATTAGACTTTTTCCATATTATGAATAGATTAGCCTTTTGATATCATGAAAGAACTAGATTCTATACTGTGCTACGGTGTTTTTGACTATTGGGGAAAGGGGACAACAGTCACTGTTTCATCAGGTAAGATTACCATCTCATTTCAGCGATCACTGCTTAAGTTGGATCAAATTTTTTGTGTTTTTGTAAGAATTTGCCATCAACACTGTGAAAGGACATTTAACAACTTTACACTATGCTTTTCTAATGATTTCTGTTCATGTTCTACATTTAAAATAATGTTCTAATTTATGTGTTGAATAACAGATGATGATGATGAACAAACTGCCTCTAAAAAAATGTTGCACGGAAGGATTCAGGCACTTGAAATGTTTTTGTATTGAACATTTAGAAAAGGCAATGTCTTCACGCTGGCCTTTATTAAACAAAATGGTCCTCTCATGTGTTTTCTCTTTAATCATTTCTAAGAGAAAATGTGTGGTATATTATTGTATTTCTATTCCGGTATCTTAATTAGTGTTGTCTCCCCTTTCTTAGACACTTCAACTGCACCCACTGTGTTTCCTCTGGTACCATGTGGTTCTGAAAGTGGAGATATGGTCACTCTTGGCTGCCTTGCCACTGGCTTTAACCCTCCTGCAGTGACTTTCTCATGGAGCAACGACAACAATCCCTTGACAGACTTCATCCAGTACCCTGCAGTACAAAAAGGCAATGTTTATACTGGAGTCAGTCAAATCCGAGTGAGGAGACAGGACTGGGATGGACGACAGAATTTTCAATGTGCTGTAAACCACACTGCTGGAATTGCACAGACTCCTATCACAAAACCACGTAAGCCTGATGGTAAGTCACATTTGTGTTAGTTATTTTCTGAGCATTATTTACAATTACCACATGACAGCATTGATAATATATTCCAAAGTTAAACAATTTGAATGAATTTAAACTTTTACAAAAATTAGAATTGAACTGATGTGTAATGCATTATCAAATTCAGTAACCTTTTTCAAGTTGTTCTTTTTTTGTTAGTTGTTTTCAGATCAGTAATTACAATTACTCTTAAATTATTACTGAGCTACACCTAGTGATTGCTACCTCTGATAAGAACACAAGTTAGCTCTCTTTAGTTCTCTATTTTATTGGTTTTGATGTTTTTGGTAGTGGAAGCAGTAATAAGGCCATTTTGAACTGCTAACATTGACAAAATAACATACCGAGGAATTATTGTTTCAACCTTTAAAAAAATACTATATATAAATATGCTGTTTGTGCCAAATAACCAACATAAAAGCAAATATTTTGCCTTATTAAATAGCACGACTTATTCTTACATTTTTCTAAATTTATAAATAGAATGCTCAGTCATTTTATTTTGTTACTACTTTAATCTAACTAAATCGATACAGTAGGAACACAGTATCACAGTTTCCCTCAACTTCTGTATACTTCTGTATACTGCTTTTGCATACATACATGTGTGCATGTCTTTGTATTGCAGAGGCGTCTGAGCCGGTGAACAATACTAACCAAAACAACAAAGGAGGTGAGTAACTCATAGCTGTTGTTGTTGTTTTTGAAAAAAACAAAACACTTTAATTCTGTAATAAAACAAGGTAAACCCATAAAAGCAGGTGAGCCTTATGCATATATATGCATATATGATTGATTTTATTAGTTTATTTTAGTTTTCTTGTATTGACATTAACGTGTTAGTGGTATAACATATTATGAAAGTAGTAGTTTCATTTAAATAATTTTGATGTTTCACCAACTACAGATCTGACAAACAGTATGTTAAATTCACACACATACACACACACACCTTTCTGTCTGTCTACATATATACATTTGAACTCAGTGTCTTCACTTTAAACTTGAACATAAATCTCTGTTTAACTGACTATCTCTTTCTGATGGGACAGAGCCAACAGTAGCAGTCTACATCCCCCCACAGCTGCACACTGACCAGTTTCAGTCTGAAGATAAAATCACTCTGGTGTGTCTGGTCACCAGTACTGTGGATGAGACGTATAAAATCGAATGGTCAGAAATGTCTGAACAGAAACAAGGACCTTATGTTACAGCCACCGACGTCCCTCCACAGCAGAGCAAAAATGACCAGAAATGGCGACGTATGAGTCTTTACACCACCAGTAAGGCAAACTGGGACAAAAAAAATCCAACCAAAGAGTTCACCTGCCGTGTTGGAGTCGGACCTAAACATATTTTTAAAACAGTGTCCAGTGCCCATGGTAATTCCATAGAATGTGACTGTAACTACTAAGGTTTAAATATGATATTTTGTGCTTGTGTCATTCTTTGTCTGTGAGAGTTTTCTATATGAAAACCTGTGCACTTGTGATGTCAGTCACTGTGAGACAAAATGTTTGTTTTGTTTTCATCATGTTGTTGTTCAGCCTGTGTGAGTCACAGTGTCCAGTTGCTTTTATGTGTGCTGTCTGTTTGAAATAAATGTTGCATGGAAACTCTTTGGTATATGTGTACATGAATAGCTTGAAACAACATCAAAAAGCAGACATACACATAAACTGTTCCTTTTTTCACTTTTCCATTAACACTAGTAACAAAGAGGAAAATCACATTACCCTAAAAAAACAAATGAAAACAGATGCACATAGATCTCCTCTAACCAAGTGTAATGTATCTTCCACTTCTTAGATGATTTTTGTGATCTGAGTTGGGATGATATCACCGCTGAAGACGATTTTGGCAGCCTGTGGTCCACAGCTTCCTCCTTCATATTCCTTTTCATATTCTCTCTCTTCTATAGCATTATTATCAGCCTTCTTAAGGTAAACATGCAATTTACATTTTCTGCATTTCAGTTTTATTGAAGTCTGTGAGTTGTAATGTAGGATAAACCCAGTCACAAGAAAATGCAGTAAATGGGAACTCTAAAGAGCACTTAAATATCTTTTTTTTTTAATCAGGAATTTTAATGTTCTGTTTGCACTTGAAAAGTACACCTTTTATAATGTAAATTATACAATTATTTAGCTTCTTAAAGAATAAAAAAAAAAGACATTAGTTTATTTGAGAAATTATAGCCTTTAATTTCCATAATATAATCTTCCAGAACTATCTCCTGGAATAAATAACATTAGGATGTAAATTTAAATTGTGTAAATGGGTAAAATAAAAATTGAAATTGCTCTTATTAAGAGACTTTTTTAAACTTTCTGATGTTTTCTTTTTGCAGATAAAGAGATCATAACGAATGGGATGGAATGGGTGCGCTTCATTTCTACGCTATTTTTAAAATGTTTTTCATTTTCTTTTTATGCACATAATCATTTATTTGTTATATTAAATGCCTGTCATATATAAATAGTCAATTAACACATCTGTAAAATGTGTAAAATAGATCAATAAAATGAAACTGCATATTATACTGCATTCTGATATTGATATTACTATTTTTCTGCTATGGATTCTGTTGTTACATTAATTCTCAGTAAACAACCAAATGAACTGCTCAAGGAAATTAAAAAAAAAAAAAAAAACGAAAAGAAGAAACACTACAATGGTCATTTCACTTCTGTAAATACTTCATTACATTACAGTTACATTAATAAGATTCAGTAAGAAATATTTGGCACCTGAAATATTAAACAGAATATGAATGTGAGGATGTAATAAATATCGAAAGCATTTTTGATGTTGCTCTATTATTTCTCAAAGTTTCTAAGAATAGCACAACAACATCTGAAGTCAATGTACCGTAAACCTCTGTTATCAGTTAGAGCTTTGAGGTTTTGAGTTTCCTGGTGCACCCCTGGGGCCAAACCTGCACAATTACAACTGTGCACCAACCATTACAACCGTGAATGAATTTCCCTGAAAAACAACATACTCATCTGGCAGCTTACTGTATATTTACATATCCATAGCATATTTGATTCACACTTACAAATTTCTGTTATCAGTTAAGGCATGATAGTTTTCAGTTTCTAAAAACAGTCTTTATAGAGTTGCTTCTCTGCTTCTTTAGGGTGACATCTGCATCGTGGGATGAAGGCCGAGAAACGTAATTATTGATGAATAATCAGAAAGCTGTAGACACCTTAGACACCAAGTGAAGACAAAGTAGTTGTTTCTAATAAACTTTTCACATAAGGTCTACTCAAGGGACAACTCGTATTCAATTTCTAATGACATATTTATGCCACTCAAACACAAATGGACCCAAGTGAATGGAGTCACGGAGTAAGAGCTGAGAACCAGGTGAAAGAAGCATGTATTTACATGTGTTACTAAAAATAATTTCAACCTAAATTTCTTGGTCATATAGTCTAGAGCTGGGGTGTCAAACTCAAATACACAGTGGGCCAAAATTCAAAACTGGAACAAAGTTGCGGGCTAACGTTAATATTTATTGAAATATATTTATTCCTCCAGATATAAGAATGAATCTTTTCTTATGGACTCAAACACATTTTGCTAAAAAAATGAATTTGGAACAAGAAAAGCTTAATACTAAACAATATATATATTAGCTGTATAATACCAGTAGGCCAGCTCTGATAGTAATTTGGTATGGCTCCGCGGGCCAAATGTAATTAGGCTGCGGGCCAAACTTGGCCCGCGGGCCAGAGTTTGACACCTATGGTCTAGAGGGTGTTTAAGTAACTGTAACCCTAACCCTTTTTAAGATACCAAGGCAAAGGCAAAAAGATGTCATTAGTGTTGATAATAGATACTCCAGTAATAAAATGTAATTTCACCATGAGTAGGAAGAATTTGTAAATTTTTTAATTTGAAAAAGCACTATATAACTTCTGCTGGTTATTTTCTATAAAAGTTGGGATTAACAGGAGGCTCTAAAAAAGAGGACGCTGGCAAGAAGCATAATTTTACAAAAGCCAAACCAGAGGAAACTGATCTCCCAAAGGAAACTGCTAATAAATGGCACAGAGGGAACTGCTTTTTCAGAGAAACATGTACACTTCCTTTATTTAAGTTAATAAGCGTTTATATTAGAGCAGATTGTAACAGATCACTGTGACAGCTATGGCTATGCTAGCTACTTTGACTACAGGGGGAAAGGAACACAAGTCAGAATAACCTTTGGTAAATAACAATCCGATCTATTTTGAGTGAGAACAAGTCTACATTTGACAGGTTGATATGAAATTAAATCTTTGTTATACTTTATGCTTAATTTGACATGCAAGGAAAAATAAAACATCTGTGTAAATGACCGGTTTATTTATTATTTATCAGTTTAGTGTAATCATATATAAGGTGACAAAAGATTTTTGCACACATTTTTTTTTCTTTCTATGAAAGATTTTGTTGGATTTATCGAGATATTACACTGTAATTCTGCTTTTCATTACTGGGGAAAAGGAACAATGGTCACCGTCACAACAGGTAAGACAAGCTTTCTGTATTGTTCATATTAAAAATGTTTGACTTTCACAGTTTAATTTGACACATTTAGAACTTCAGCGTGGTTGTTTTTTGTATGTTGCATATTTTTGAGATTTTATACTAGACACTGTTTTGGACTACTGGGGATAAGCCACAACCAGGTAAAGGGATCTGATTTCTTTTTCTTTAATGTTGACATTTAAGTTCAAAAACACTGTGAAAACCATGCAGTGCTTTAATTTCTAGCGTATCACAAGTCTACAATCTGTAGTCATAATTTTAACTCTGGTGATTAAAACCTTTGTGACCTTTAATTTAATTGAAACATAACTATGTACACAATTATTAAGTTTAGAGTGGTTCTAATTATTTCCGAAGTCAGAAAAACTTTACAATTTAACAGGATATCCGAGAAGTTAGTTTTTGTGAGAGGTGCAAAAGACTCAACTGTGATAACTGGGCTTTTGACTACTGGGGGAAAGGTACAATGGTTACAGTCACAACAGGTAAGGCAGTTGAAATATGTCCTTAATCTTAAGATTTTGAGTTAAAAACTTTGATATTTTCCGAAGAAACAGTGTGTTAGTGTACAGTGTATTCCCACTGTATTTGTAAAATACTGCAAGTCGAGTGTGAGGTCATTTGAAGACTCAGTTTAAACACTTGGTGGTGAAAAACAGGTTTAATTCAGTCTTTTGAATCTCAATTTGCACAAACAACATGAAGAAAACCAAGTATGCCAAGATGGAAAGTCTGTTTTTGTATGAAGTGGTGAATAACTTGTTAGACTGTGACTACGCTTTTGACTACTGGGGGAAAGGGCACAATGGTCACCGTCATGTCAGGAATGAATTGATGTATTTTTCACTAAAGACAGAATTTTTTATTTTTATCCAAGACTAGTACAATGTTGATTCATCTATTGGGATAAACTCAGCAAAGAAAGTCATTATTGGAACACTTTGTAGCCAAAAGAGCAAAGAACTTGTAAAAAACTGGACTTAATTTATTGATGTTAGTTATAGCTATATCAAGAAGTAAGTGTTTTAAACTTATTTTAATTTTCTCTGAGACCGAAATCAGAATGTCATAGTGATTAATTTTTGTAAGAAATAAGACAAGACTCGGTTAACTGACACAAATGAGGTTTAGGCTACTAAGAAAATGGCATCAAGATAAAAATGTAATCAGGTAAGACCTGTCCTATCTAAAATCTGCATAGGATATGTTTCGGATAGAGAAATTCATTTTACAAGATATAATATAACTTCCCATTCAGTGAAGGTTTACTTCAAAATACAGTTATTGTGTTAAAGTACATTTATTGTAAAAATATTCTCAAACGTGATAATGTCAAAATGGGTATAATTGGGTGATTTAATAGGATTTTAATCTAGTGGGATTAAGAAAAGGTTCTATTTAGACTTTCTCCATATCATGAATAGATTAGCCTTTTGATATCATGAAAGAACTAGATTCTATACTGTGCTACGGTGTTTTTGACTATTGGGGAAAGGGGACAACAGTCACTGTTTCATCAGGTAAGAATACCATCTCATTTCAGAGATCACTGCTTAAATTGGATCAAATTTATTGTGGTTTGTAAGAATTTGCCATCAACACTGTGAAAGGACATTTAACAACTTTACACTATGCTTTTTTAATGATTTCTGTTCATGTTCTACATTTAAAATAATGTTCTAATTTATGTGTTGAATAACAGAAAAGTAAACGTATAATTCTATTGGGGGATCCTGATGAACCAACTGCCTCCAAAGCAATGTTGCAGGGAAGGACTCGGGCACTTGAAATGTTTTTCTATTGAACATTTAGAGAAGGTAATTGTCTTCACGCTGGCCTTTATTAAACAAAATGATCCGCTCAAGTGTTTTCTCTTTAATCATTTTCAAGGGGAAATGTCTGGTATGTTATTGTATTTCTATTCTGGTGTCTTAATTACTGTTGTCTCCCCTTTCTTAGCCACTTCAAGTCCACCCACTGTGTTTCCTCTGATACCATGTGGTTCTGAAAGTGGAGATGTTGTCACTCTTTGGCTGCCTTGCCACTGGCTTTAACCCTCCTTTCTCATGGAACAAAGGCAGCACTGCCTTGAAAGACTTCATCCAGTACCCTGCAGTTCAAAATGGCAATGTTTATACTGGAGTCAGTCAAATCCGAGTGAGGAGACAGGACTGGGATACACAACAGAATTTTCAATGTGGTGTCAATCACACTGTTGGAAATGGACAGGCTAATATCACAAAACCACGTAAGCCTCATGCTTAGTCACATTTAATCAATTTATCTTATTCTGTTTGACTTACAACAAGTTTACATGAAAAAATATATATATTCCAAAGGTCTGATGCGTAATGCATTATCAAATGCAATAGCTTTCTTCAATAAAAGTTCTTTTTTTTTGTTGTTGTTTTTGAACAGTAATTACAATTACTCTTAAATTATTACTGAGCTACACCTAGTGATTGCTACCTCTGATAAGAATACAAGTTAGTTCTCTTTAGTTCTCTATTTATTTGGTTCACGGTTTTGATGTTTTTGGAAGATTTGTACTGGAAGCAAACTTATTGTAAGTTCACCCCAAGCTGCTTATATTGACAAAGAATCTGAGCATACCAAGGAAAAAATGTTTCAACTTTAAAACCCCAAACCATATTCAGATATGCTGCTTATGTCAAATAAATGACATAAAAGCAAATATTTCTCCTTATTAAATAGCATGACATGTTCTTAAATATTTCTCATTTCTGCGGTTAGCTTAATTGGTGATTCTAAATTGCCCAAAGGTGTGAATGTGACTGCAAATGGTGGTCTTTCTCTATGTGTTAGCCATGCGAAAAACGAATTACCTATCCAGGGTGTACCCTCACTCTCACCCTAAGGCAGTTAGGATCGGCTCCTGGTTCTTCCATGGAAGATAATGAATGGATGGATTTCTACATTTATGAATAGTTTGTAAATTGAAAAACAAAAACCATGCTCTTGCATACATACATTTGTGTACATCTTTGTGTTTCAGTGGCTTTTAAGCAGACACATTCGCAAAGACAGCAGCTTTATTCAGTAAATGTTGGATTTTGTGCGGCAGTAACAATTACTAGTAAAGTATTACTGCACTAAAACTTGTGATTGTTACTTCTGAGAAGGATAAGAGTTAGTTCTTGATAGTTCTCTATTTTTGGTTGTTGTTGCTTTTGGAAGGTAGAAGCTGACTTCACTGAAAGTACACCTTGCATTTATATGTTAAAAAAATAGCCTAAAAATACCAAGGAATAAGTGTTTCTACTTGAATAAAAGCACATTTAATTCCTTCTTGAATACATACATTTGTGTATATCTTTACTTTTCAGTGGTATTTGAGCAGAATCCAACTCTTAAAGTGATTTCCTCTCCTGATGAGGATGGTACCTATACTGCCTCCTGCTTTACCAAAGAGTTTGCACCAAAGAAACATGACATCAAATGGCTGAAAATTGGAGCCGACGTCACCAGCAAAAAAAGATCCGATCACTACAGTTTCTGAAACAAGACAGGCAGATGGAAAGAAAGTGTAGAACGCAGCAGGTTTTCTCACAGTAAATTCCAATGACTTGCATGAAGATACTGTATTTATGTGTAATTTTGCAGGAGGCCAAAGTGGATCTTTGAATAAAACTGACAGAGACTACACACTAGGTAACTGATTTTTCCACAACTGCCGATCCAAAAAACAGTATGTTACAATTACACACACGCACACACACACACACACACACACACACACACACACACACACACACACACACACACACACACACACACACACACCAATCTATTCATCCACATATATACATAACTTAATGTCTTCTTTTTAAACTTGTACATAAATCTCTCTGTTTAACTGAGTATCTCATTCTGATGGGACAGAGCCAACAGTGACAGTCCACATGCTCCCACAGCTGCACACTGACCAGTTTCAGTCTGAAGATAAAATCACTCTGGTGTGTCTGTTCACCAGTACTGTGAATAAGATGTATAAAATCGAATGGTCAGAAAGTTATGAACGAAATTCTAGACCTTATGCTACAGCCACCGACGACCCTGCACAGCAGAGCAAAAATGACCAGAAATGGCGAAGTATGAGTCTTTACACCACCAGTAAGGCAAACTGGGTCAAAAAAGATCCAACCAAAGAGTTCACCTGCTGTGTCGGAGTCGGACCTAAACATATTTTAAAAACAGTGTCCAGTGCCCATGGTAATTCCATAGAATGTGACTGTAACTACTAAGATTTAAATGTGATATTTTGTGCTTGTGTCATTCTTTGTCTGTGAGAGTTTTCTATATGAAAACCTGTGCACTTGAGATGTCAGTCACTGTGAGACAAAATGTTTGTTTTGTTTTCATCATGTTGTTGTTCAGCCTATGTGAGTCACAGTGTCCAATTGCTTGATATATGTGCTGTCTGTTTGAAGTAAACGTTGCATGGAAACTCTTTGGTATATGTGTAGATGGAAAACTTGAAGTGTCACAAAAAAAAAAAAAAATTCTTCCATTTTTCACTTTTCTATTAACACCATTAAAGAAGAGAAAAATTGTATTACCCCAATGAATAAATAGAAAACAGATGCACATAGCACTCCTCTAACCAAGTGTACTGTACCTTCTACTTTTTAGAATACCTTTGTGATCTGAGTTGGGACAATGTCACCGCTGAAGAGGATTTTAATAGCCTCTGGTCCACAGCTTCCTCCTTCATATTCTTCATATTCTCTCTCTTCTATAGCATAATCATCAGTCTTCTTAAGGTAAACATGCAATTTATATTTTCTGCATTTCAGTTTTATTGAAGAATGAAGTCTGTGAGTTGTAATGTAGGATAAACTCAATCACAAGAACATGCAGTACACTCAAAAGAGCACTCATAGATCAATTAAAAAAAATTAGGAACAAGGAATTGTAATGTTCTGTTTGCACTTTTTAAAATCACACCTTTATCATGAAAATTATATCATTTGATTTTTAAAGGAGGAAAAAAAATGAGTGTAATTTAGAAATGTTTAGGCTTTAATTTAATCCAAAACTATCTCCTGGAATAAGTAACATTAAGATGTAAACTTAGAGTACATTAGGGTTTACTAGTAATAGTAATTAAATGACTGTTCTTAACAGATTTGTTTTAACCTTCTGATGATTTTTTGTTTTGGGTTTTTTTTTTGCAGATAAAGAGATGATAACAAATGGGATGGAATGGGTGCGCTTCATTTCTAATCTGCTTTTAAAATTGATTTTTCATTTTATATTTATGCACATAATCATTCATTTTTATATTAAATAGATGTCATATACAAATACCCACTTAGGAGATGTGCAAAATGTGAAAAATAATTAAATAAAATGAAACTACATATTATACTGCATCTTATGGTCATTTCACTTCTGTAAATGCTTCATTAAATTAAAGTTAGGTTAATAAGATTCAGTAAATAACATTTGGCACTTTAAATATTAAACAGAATATGAATGTGAGCATGTAATAAACATCAAAATCATTTTTGATGTCGCTCTATGATTTCTCAAGGTTTCTAAGAATAACACAACAGCATTTGAAGTCAATGTACCGTAAACCTCTGTTATCAGTTAGAGCCTGGAGGTTTTGAGTTTCCTGGTGCACCCCTGGGACCACACCTGCACAACTAAAACTGTGCACCAACCATTACAACTGTGGCATCTGGCAGCTTACTGTATTTGCATCTCCATAGTTCATTTGAGTCTCATTTCCAAATTCCTGTTGTCAATTAAGGCCTGATGTTTTTCAGTTTCTAAACGTGCCATCTTTAGAGAGCTGCTTCTCTGCACGTTTGGGGCCACATTTGTATAAGTGGATTTCTTCAAGTCCCAAAAAATATCTTGTTAGGTTGCAAATGCATCCAGCTATAAATTGATACACATGCCTTCAGAAGGCATAAATGTTTGCAGACAAAAGAATATATGCTCAAAATGTAACCACACCCTCTCAAACTGCATTCAAGAAACTATATATATGTATATATATATATATATATATATAATTTTAAGCTTAGATGAATAAGTGACCTGTATTAACTCATTCACTGCCAGCCATGAGTCAACGTATGCTTTCAATTGACGTCTATAGACGTCAATGGCAGTGAATGAGTTAATTTCCTATAGTATTTTATTCTATAGGAAAAAGCCCAATCAGCACTGAATTCATGAATGTATCATCAATGCATGACAAGTCTTCCATCGACAAAAGTCGATTGGAAGGTTGCCCCCAACTGCAAACCGCAACAACTGAAGCAATGTGAAGGTGTGTGAGTGACAAAAGCCACAACTCAGCCACAGGAATAAAGGAGACAGGCCCAACCAAAGACAACAAAATTCCAGATTTCAATGAAGATCATGAAGTCAGCAGTCGGTACCTGTGTGCACAGGGATTTCAGCCAGAAACAGGTAGTTCACAACTTCATATAGTGAGGAGACAAAGCAAGAAGCAAAAGCAATCAAGCCTGTACAGTTACACACATATGCATATACTCTCTCACGCACAGATGCACACACAGAAAATCGATGTTGACATTGATCTATTGATTTTGTGTGGGGATTTTTTTCTTTTAAAAATGTTTTTAAAAACAGGATAATACAAAATATTTCAAACATTAAATCATTCTTGTGTGGACAAAATATAGTACAAGTGTAATACAAATCAATATTCTTAATTAAAATAACAAAAGTAGCATAAACACATAGATTGTCCAGTTACTCATGCATCTAAGTTAAGAACAGTCACTGTTTCCGTTTTATTGCAATTAACATTTTATCCTTCATAATCCATTCAGTTTTAACCACTGTATTGTTTTGAAACCTCATCTAAAACATTTTCATCTGTGCCTGTATAAAAACTCAAAATGCACCAAATATGTACAGCTTTACACAGTACCCAGTGAATAACTGAAGTGGGAAACATGATGAAATACCACCACCTAGTGGGTTAGCTTGTTTTGCAGTTAATAAAACAGTTGGAAGATGTTGATGCTTTGAATAGAAGCAGTGCTTGGAAACCAAAGAATTCACTTACTTCATGCAAACATTAAAAGGTGTTTATTATTATTATTATTATTTTTATCTGTATTTGCATTCAGATAATGCTGCTGTGTGGCTGAGAAACTGAAGCAGCAAAAAAGGAACTCCATCTCTGGCTGCCTCCTTTGTGTATTCAGAGAGGTGACATGTACAAATTCAACCCTTGCTTCTGCTGCCACCTACAGGTCTTTATGTAGACAAAAACATATAGTGTGAAACGGTGTGTCCCTGATTAATGAAAGAATGAACATAAAGTGGACAGAAGTGTACAAAATGTGAGGTTTTAACCAACAATTATTTCCTGTCAAGCAAGCTTAAGTTTAACGTATTTTGAAGACCTAAAAGTCACCAGGTGACTCCAAAAGATTTAAGTCTATTATTCAACAAGAACTCACAGCTACAAAGAAGGAAAATACATTAATGTATTTCCACTCTCATAAAATAATAATACAGATAAAACAGAAATATTCTCTTAAACCTTTTTAAAATATGCCTCTGTTTTTGTGATCATCTTAACTAGAACATCCTGTTGTTTTCATAGTCTAAAACTCTTAAGTTCTGGCAAGAGTGGGAAGGTTTTGGTAAGAGCTTATGTCACTGTGATACTATGGGGGCTACTACACAGTGTTATACCCCATAACAAAAACTATGTCGTGAAACCCCTCTCCTCTTCCTCTGTCCTGTAAATTTTGAAGCACAGTACTGATCAGGTAAAACTAATGAAAAAGGTATATTTTATTTGTAAGTATATTTAGTCATCATTAATTATTATCCATTAATGACTAATTTAGGCATTTGTAACACACAGTTAAAATGGGGAAATAGGTACAGCAATAATAAAACATACTAATTATTAGAATACACTACGTAAAAAAATAAATAAATGTGTTTTCTATAACTGCAAAGAAGCACACAATAGTAATAACTAATCAATAGTAACTCTTATAATAAAGCTATTGCAAGATTTTATTCAAATTATTAAATCTTTAATTTATATTCATGAAAAGGGGGCCATATTTATATAGACTGGCCACAATATATTGGCAGAATATTTGTCTTATTGCTTATATTCCATAATGGGTGACAGCTACACGGTGGCAGAGGTTTTTGAACAAACATGTGTCACAGTGTGGAGCGGCCACACTGATTCACACAGTTACAAAAACCTCCTTGAAAGGCAATGTCTTTCTGCTGCAACTAGACTGTGTGATGCATACTGTAAGCACAAACTTCATTAATATAGTTAGTTCTTTTGCATATCCTAAAATTCTGATGGAAATAAGCTTTTATTACCAAAAAGGAAGATTTAATGATTTGATTGTTGATCCATGCTGTGCAAACAAAACATATAATAATGAAATAATTATTAGTTCCAAATTAATTGTGTTCATTAGATGTGTATGACAGTTAGACTGTATGTTAAAAGAGGGCCACAGCTACAAAACCTCTGAAGAAACACTTTTCATTAGACCAGTTACAAATATTAAAATGAGTTAACTTGAAGACTTTGGATGATAGACTTAAAAACATGTATGTACTCAGTCTTTGTACTTGTTAGGTTTTTTTCCTGCATTTAAAATACAGACTAACAGTTTGTGAAGCACATTTTTCTCTCTTCTGTC